TGGTCTTTCCCTAAAATCCGTCAAAATTGTCGTAGCGACATGCCGTTTGCACAACCCTCCATAAAATGTTATTAGCGTTTTACAACAAGCATTAGTTTTAATTTGAGTTCAAAATTTAAGTTTCGATTTGGTGCAGCAGTTAAAAGGCCATTATTATTCCTCTGCCTTTTGTCCCGACTGCGAGGGTCGCGCTCCACCCGCACAAAGGGGCGGGGTCCGGGGGCCCGTGTCGAAGGGTCCAGGACGGGCCAGGTCAGAAATGTTGTTGCGGTAGCTGGGGAGGCGTAGCAAGGCGACAAAGATTGCCGAGCCGCCTTCCATCCTGAATCCTAGTATAATCCGCGTGCCGCCCCATAAGCCAGCCAAACGCGGAAACACAATGCCGCGACAAAGGCCAAATAAGGCATAATGGTGAAGGACGCGCTGCGAATGCTGCGAAAGGGAGAGGACGGGCCGGACGGACGGGGGATAGCAGTGTGGTGGCAAGGGGAGTGAGACGCGACTGGCGCGCGGGGGCCGAGCTGGAGCACTGGATCAGGAACAGAGGCGGTCCCCGCAAATTTTCTGCAACTTTTAAAATTTCCAAACATTTCTCGCTTTGTCCCGTCGCCCACACTTCCTGCAAAAAAAAGGTGAAAATTTTTGATGTGGTAACTCCCGCGGTTTGGCGCGACAAAATACGTACTTGACTTCTTTGAATTTTTGCGCCTTTTTTTTCGGAGCAAGTTGGGGTCTTGGATGACGAGGAAAAACACTGGGAACACTATGGCGTTTGCGGTAACCGAATCCGCGAGCCTTCCGCAGGCCGTGCATCGCGTCGCTGCGCTTCGCTATCGCCGCGGATTGGCCGAGCCGTTTTGATTGATGGCAGCCACCCCTCCCCCTCCCCCCCCTCTCCAGTCCCTCCACAAACCTGTGGCGCTGCCCAGCGGACCAGACACTGCCCCCTCCCCCCTCACTTCTTGCGCACAACTCTGTGCGATTTCGGTGTAAGTACAGTCGACTCCAGAAAAGAGGGAGGGAGCGCCGACTCGTACAGAAAAGGGAAAAATAAAGTTTTTGAAATCATCGCTCTGCGGGTGCGTACATACGCACCGCGTGCGGTTGTGAATTTTACGGAAGAGTGGGAATACGGGGGTCATTTCACCGGCAATCGAACCCCCTCTTCCTCTCTGTAAACTTTTGGCACCGGCAGATGGGCGACACAAATCTTTGCGGCCGACCCACACGCGAGTCGACTTACACACACACACATACACGCGCGCTTGTACACACACACACACACACACACACAGCCGCTCCCTCCGCGAGCGTGCCGCGTCCAACTCATAACTCTCGCCACGTCTCTATTACGGGGAGCGCGTTTTACACTTTTTGTGTGGCGGCCATCCGTCGGTGGCGCGGTGCTCGCGGTACTACTACTACAGGATCGTTATGATTGTCATTATCGCCGGATTATCATTAATTCAATTACCTTACAAGGTTTCACTCCATCGTCCGGCGCTGCAGGTCGCGTTCTAGTGCTGCTGCCGGTGGTCTCGGAGGGGGTGAGGGAGGCCGGGGTGTCGCGACGCCGCGCGCTGAAGAAGGAGGAGGAGGAGGAGGAGGCCGAGGACCATTACGGCGGCGTTCGTCACGGGGGCCGCGCGGGGCCGCGCATGCTGAGGCGAATCGAAAAGTGTAAACAAAAATTAGAAGGCCGCGCAGTCATTTCGCCGCAATGAATGACTTGCACGGGCCTCCTGAACGCGGTGCGGCGGCCGGATGGGCCGGATGTGCGGGGTAAACAGGGGCCCCTTTGATCGGGTTCACGAGAGCGCGGGTCCAGCGGGGTTTTGGGGGGCGTCGGCGCGGGGTTTTCGACGCGGCCGACGCGGTCTCGGGGCGGGTGCGTCGGTGCGTCCACTCCACTGCAAGCAACCTGTGCGATGAGCCACTCGGGAAAGTGCTCCAGTTGTCGCGGGGGCGGTCCCGGATTTCACGGCCGATTTGGCGCGCGATGAGTTGCAGTGTTGCAGTGCACACTGCATGCCTGCCACGCCACTGCCACGCCGGACCGCTGCGCGGCGGCACACCGGCAGATTGGAGGCTTTTCAAAGTCCGGGGGAAAGGTTTTATGGCCGTGCATCCTCCGGGCGGGCCGGGCCGGGTCGGGGCGCAGGCTGACGGCCAGCAGGTCGACGTCGGCGCGGTCGGCGCGGTGCGGCGACAGCAGGCTCAGGAAGAGGGGCGAGGAAAGGCGGTCATAAAACCGAACCCGGGTGCCACACGGGTGCCGCTACTCGCAGCAGGCTCGCAGCTTGCCGGTTCACTTTGCTTGCTTTGCTCCCTGCACCGTTTCACCCCCTGTTTACCCCCGCTTTCATTTGCGTGACCTACTTTTCCAAATGAACGTGATTTTTCTTGTATTTTTCAAAAACACAAAGCGGTGCGTGCTTTTCTCTCGCGAGTGGACCGCCGCCACCGCCCCCCACACTGGCGGTCCAGTTTCGCCTACGCAGGCTGCAGCCGCCAACCGAGGCGCGGCGCATGGCGGGGCGGCGGGGCGTGGCGGGGCGTGGCGGGGCGGGCCGCGGTGGCGGAGCGCGGCAGCGCAAGGGGTGCGTCCTTTGTTCAAGCGAGGGGGCTGGCCGCGCTGCCCGCGCTCGCCGGGGTAGTGGGAGGCGGGGGGAGGGGGTGGGGGAGGGAGGAGCCGCCGGATATAATAAGGCTCCATTTCAAATGTCTCACGGTGCTCCGCGCTGCAGCGCGGCGCAGCGCGTCATGAATGAAAACAACGGGTGTAATGCGGGAAACAAACAAGGGTCGGCACGGATTGGCCGCAGAGCGAGCGAACGGACAGAAGTGCCGAGTGAGCAGTCTCTGTCTAGCGCCGCGAACTGCAACGCACACACTCACACTCGGGCGATCCAGCAGCCTCTGATATCCCCCGATTTCTTTAAAATTTACTCGCTTGCGTTTTCTGGTCGATTCGCGCTTGATTCTAAAACGGCCTCCTTCCGGTGCGCCTGCCCCGTGGCTCGCAGTGTGCTCGCCGAAGCGCGCCGCGCAGTCACGTGACGGGCGGGGACGCGTGCCGCACGCGCGGCCAGCCAGCGCGACGCCGCGATGATACAGTGTCGATACCGTCCCAACGGCTGCAGGCGGATTCCGGACAGGGCCTCGACGCCCTGTCTCTCTCGCACCCTCACGGGGTGCTGCAGGGGTGCGAGAGAGACGGCGCGACGACGCGGTGCTCGGAGTTACTCGGAGTCAGCCCGCCGCCGCGGCGAGGCTGCGAGTTGGCGGAGGCCGCGGCGTTTTGGGGTGTTTTGGAGGGTGACTTCCCTGCAACCCCTACGCTGTTCGCCGCGCTGGCTGCGCGCTGCGCGCTCCGCGGCCTGCACGCGCGCCGCATTGTTCGCGCTCGCATCCCCCAGCCTGCCTCCCCAGCCTCCCCCCGCAAAACCAACGACCCCTCCCCTCTCCCTCGCCTCCCCCATCCGGGCGAGCGGACGGGCCGGGCCGGCGCGCAGGCCGACGGACCGCCGGGGTGCTGCAGTCTGCTGTGGGACAATTGCCCCCCAACAACAGTGGCACACATTTCAATACGGATCCGAAGCCGGCCGAGGCAGGACTGGCAGGACGACAGCAGTGCATCGGCGACACCCGGGCGGCCACGACGGCCATGTTCTAGTGCAGTGACAGTGCGTTTGTGTTGTTTGTGTGTGTGATTGTGCGTCGCCATGAGCAGCTACGCCATGTACGAGACGTCAGGCAACTACTGGAGCGGCGCCAACGGCTACGAGGCGGGCAGCTACTACCAGGGCGGCTACTACCAGGCCAACGGGTACCCCCAGCAGCAGCAGACCGGAGGCTACTTCGCGCCGCCGTCACCGGGAACGCCGCAGCAGCAGCTCGCAGGCTGGGGCGAGGTCGCCGACGACGTGCCCTCCACGACGGCCACCTCCGCGACGGCCACCTCCCCGCACTACGCGCCGCACTCGCCCGTCGGCGCGCAGACCTACTCCGTCAAGGCGGAGGACACCGCGGCCCAGGAGTACCGCCAGCAGGTGATGTACCAGCAGATGTACCTGCAGCAGCGGCAGTACCAGCAGAACATGACTCAGTACCAGCAGAAGGCGTTGCTGCAGCAGCAACAACAACTTCAACAAATGCAACAGCAGCAGCAGCAACAACAACACCAGCGGCAGCAGCAACAACAACAACAACATCAGCGGCAGCAGCAGCAACAACAACTCCAGCGGCAGCAGCAGCTTCAACAACAGCTACAACAGCAGCAGCAACAACAACAACAGCAGCTTCGACAGCACCAGTACCGGCAGCAGCAGCAGCAGCAGCCAGGGCCTCAGCCCCAGCCCCAGCAGCCCCAGGAGCACAAGGTGACCACCACGCTGTCGCCGTTCAGCTCGCCGTGCGAGGAGTTCGACGGCGCGTTCCAGGAAGCGGCGCCCGCCGACCTGCAGCCCTCGCTGGAGGCACTGGCGGCGCTGGAGACGCCCCCGCCCACCGGCTACTACACGCAGCGTGACACGCAGCGCCGCGGCGGCCCCTCCCCGCCGTCACCTGTGCGCCCCGCCCCCTCTTCCGGCCCGGCGGGTGAGAAGCCCAGCTTCCAGCTGCTCAAGTCCCTCCTGGAGAGGGGCATCTCCGTCGCCCGGAATCCAGGGCCCATCGCCGGGGCCACCGCCGGGACGTCACCTCCGGACGCCAAGCGGGAGCGGCAGTCGCCCCCTTCCGGCGACGAGGAGGGCTTCGCGAAGATGCTCGCGGACATGCAGCGCCCCGCCCCCGCTGCCCCCGCCGCCGCCGCGCGGGAGCTGACTACGCTGGAGAGACGCGGCGCCACCGCGGAGCCGCCGAAACCTGCACCTGTGGCCGCCCCCGTCGCCCCCGCAGCGCCAGCCGCCCCTGCAGTGCCAGCCGCCCCCGCCAACCCCGCCGCCCCTGCGGCCCGCAAGCCCCCGGAAGTGGTGGGCCGCCACAAGGGGCTGCCCAAGATGATCCAGAGGGAGCAGTCGGTGCCCAGCCCCAGGTCGGCCAGGTCCCCGGCGTGCCCGTCGCCCAGCGTGCCGGCCGACCAGGCCAGTGGACAGCACGCCGACGACGCCCCCAGCACCCAGACTCTCCAGCACGTCGACGACGTCCTCAGTCAGCACAGCCAGGACCGCGCCCAGGACGCCCCCAGTGGGCGTGGGGGCCGCCAGCAGCCCGAGGACCTCAGTGGGCAAGGCCAGCTTCGTCAGCACGCCGAGGACCTCAGTGGCCACGGCCAGCTTTTCCAGCACGCCGACGACGCCCACCGCGGCCAGGGTCAGCTTCACGACCTCGCCGACGACGTCCTCAACAGTCACAGCCAGCTCCGCCAGTTCACCGACAGCCCTTACGGGGGCCAGTTCGGCGGCCAGCGTGGCGGCCAGCAGGACGACACGAGGCAGGACGACGACGACAGCCAGACGGAGGACGACACGTACATGGCCTACCACCTGAGGCTGGCCATGGGGCCGGTGGACGCCGTGCTGCGCGCCAAGGAGGACGCCGCCTGGGCGAAGGCAGCCGGTAAGTCATCGCACGCCGCTCTTTACAGTGTAGTTTCCAGGCCGTTGCAACCCAGTGCTCACAGCCCTCCGTGACTGTTCCAGGCGCCGAGTCCAAGGCGGCGGCCGAGGTGCCGGGCGGCAAGCGCACGCGACAGACGTACTCGCGCAACCAGACGCTGGAGCTGGAGAGGGAGTTCCACTTCAACAAGTACCTGACGCGGCGGCGCCGCATGGAGATCGCCGCCAAGCTGGGGCTGTCCGACCGCCAGATCAAGATCTGGTTCCAGAACCGCCGCATGAAGGCCAAGAAGGACCAACCCGCCAGGTGAGACTTGACTTGCGCCAAATCTGTCGCCTTTTGGCCCCTCTTGTCTGTCTGTCTGTCCGTCCGTCTCCCCCTTGCGTCGCGCCACCCCGTGCGCCCAGGTCGGGGTGGCTGGCCATTCTGCGTCCCCGGCGTCCCCGACGGCAGCAGGTCAGCTGGGGAGCGAGAGGTCGTAAATTGTATCTCGCCCTGGTCACCACTGTCTCTTGTTCTCGCCCCTCTCCTCTCCAGGGGTGCCGTCCGTGTGTCCGTCCGTGCGTCCGTCCGCTTTTGTCGGTCAGTTGGGCCGATTGTCCGACTGTCTGTCCGTCTGTCTGTCTCTGTGCGTCATCCCGCCTCGCCTATTTCGCTTCGCGGAGGTTATGATCTGGAAATCTGCCGAGTTTTTCCGGTTGTTTCGCCCAGCGCTCTAATCATGTTGGTGCTGTTCCAGCTCCAGGGTTCCCGCCGGCCCCTCCTCGGACGAGGACTCGATGCTGGACGCCGCGGCCGCCGCCCCGCTGGGACCGCAGGCGGGGCAGGGCCTCCACGACGGCGGCCTCGACGCGCCCAGCCTGCAGCAGTTCCAGCAGCACCAGCGCCTGCACATGGAGAACCTCCAGTCGTACCAGCACTTCCTGCAGCAACAGCAGCTCCTCAGCCGCCAACTGCAGCAGCAACAGCAGCACCTGCCCGCCATGCCGGACCGCTTCCTGCCGCCCATGCCCTTCATGGACAAGAGCAGGTCGGGCTTCGAGTCGGCGCTCGACGCCCTGTCCTAGTGGAGTACACCGCCAAACGGCCAAGTATCTCGGTTTCAAAGTTCCTCGTCTGGTTAGAAATGCTCGACAATTTTTGCAGGTTAGAATTAAGTTTTAAAATGAATTGTTTTGGGGGTTGATTTATTTTAGCGAGTCTCTATTTTCGGGGTCGTTCTTTTTTTTTGACGCTGGACCTTGAGGCACTTCTTATGGGGCCACATGTGACAGCGGGGCCTTCCTGGACTTCGCGTCCGTATTTTGTGACATCCACGGGGATTCTCTTTTGTTTCTTAGGGGTGTGCGCATCCGGCCCCGGAAAGGGGGGGGGGTCTGGCAGACATGAAATGGGCCTTGACGTGGTCTGCGACTGCACCGTTCAGTCCTTCGCGTCGCGACCGCGGCCGGCTGCGCGCACATTGACTGCCGCGTAGGTTTGTTTTTTCATGACCCGACTTCAATGAGGGGCGAATACGGGGAGGGAGTCGCAGGAAATTTACTGCTCTCATGTTTAACAATCGTTCAAATCAGTCCATTCGCCCCGCGGTGAGGCAATCTGCATGCACCTGGATCGGCCGCGGTCGTTCGGAGTAAACCGTAGTAGTATTGACCCAATTCGCTTCTCGGCTAAAAGCAGAAATGTTTTTCTTTTTTTTACATTTTATTCTTTGCCGCGCGCGAAGCTGGAGTGGACACGTCGTGTAGTTTGTTTGTCTAGCCCTCTGGACACGCCGCGCCAACTCGTTTTTCCCGAAGAAGTCAGTTTTCGGCGAATAATTTACTGCCTATAGAGAGGCCGGGACAAAAGGGGCGGCGCAGGCGGCGCGACAGAGGACGTCCGAGCGTGTCCGTGCTGCCCGGGGTGGCTGCACTGTAAGGCTCTCCGGACAGGCCGACCTGGGCAGTGTGGCAGCACTGTGGCGGCGGCGCCCGTCCCGCCTGTTTTGACCGCTGTATATTTTGTCCCTTTGGCCGGTGCCCCAACAGGTCCCGCGTGACATGCACTTTGGGCGGATTACTGTAACGGACCGATACAGTGTGGCGGGGGTGTTTTGCCTTTCGGAGAGTTGCCGCGCAAACATCGGCCCCCGGGGAGACCCTTCGGTCGGTGCTAATGGTTATGATGTTCCAAAAAAAAATTAGAAATAAAATTGCGGGTGTTTTAGGATGTTTTCTTTTTTTTGCCGCGCTTTGTTTGCGCGGTTCTAGGTTGTCTATGACTAATGGACTGATGTAAGTTAGATTCTAATGAGCTCTCTGCCTTTTGTATCTTGATTATATATTTTATTCAAGAGATGTTCTAATGATGGAAGGAGATGTGATATGTATTTTAAGAGATAATTTGGCGATTTTGAATGTGAACTTTTCTCGCACTTTTCCGGGCGCTTCACTGTTTTTTGAGTTATAACGCAGTTTCGCCCCTGCGCTGCCGACTGAAATCGAAAGTGAGAACGCTGAATTAACTCCAAAATGGATGCCAAATTTATCTAGTCTTGGTCCTGCCCCGCGGCCCGCGCGTCGCCGGGCGCCGGACGCGTTGTGCCGAAGCCTTGCCATACGTGTATATTTTCTTAGCGTGTAATAAAGAGGAAAGTTACGAATTTTGTTCACCTTGTTCTTCTTGTTTCAACCCCCATTCTGTTCGTTTTCCACGCCGATATGCCACAGCCAGTTTGGCGGTCTGATGGGAGAAGGGTTGCGAAGGGACGTGGGCGGCGCGCGGAGAGCGAGAGAGAGACACACAGGGAGAGGGGGAAGCACTTCAGCTCCACTTTGCCACCGCTTGCCCTTTCCCTGACACCTGACATGGTCCCATTAGAAAGATGGTCCAGCGCGGCCGGCCGGACAGACAGACAGACAGACAGACAGGTAGGCGGAAGGGCGATAACCACCACACCCTTCAGACGGCGCGCCAGAGCCACCGGCCGGCCTCACGCCGAGCCTCACGGACTTGAGGGTCATCGGACGGCAACAACGGCCTCTGCCGTTCCCCGGAAAAGTGACCCGCACTCGCTTCCCGGATGCTTTGCCGTCGACGCGCTGTCTCTCTCGCACTGCAGGTAAGGCCGTGCAGGTGCGAGAGAGACAGACAGAGCGACGAGACGCTTTGCGGAATCCGCCAGCAGGCCGCTGCAGTCCTCAAGGGGGCGCTCGTAAGCGACGAGAGGGGGTTTGGGCTTGAACCGATTGATGAATCCGAGGGGGGCACTGGGAAGAGAGATAAACAGACAGACTGACAGACGGAAGGACAGACAGACAGTCAGACCGACAGACAGACAGACGTAATGTAAGGCACCGTTCGCTGTAGGGTACCGCCGCTCTAGATTTGCCCAACTTACACCGACTACGTACAGTCCACGTCTCTACTTGAGGCAAATAGAACAAACAGGTCCCTGTGGCTTGTTTCGCGTGTCTCGGGGCGAGACGTGGCGACCGTTCCCGGCCGTGTCCGCGGGGAAGGGGGACGGCGACGGCGTGGCACAGGGGTGGCGTCGGCGATACTCCGCGCTCAGAGAGACACTGCGCCGCCGGGCCGGCCGAGGCGGCAGCGACAACCAAGTGACGCCAATTTCGGTGACAGGCAGACGACCTGGGTCCAGATAAGCGTCCCAGGTGAGCCCGCTTTTCAGTTGCAAGGTAACGCGGAAGACATGAACACCGGCGTGCAAGTCGAACTTGCGAAGCAACTCGGCGGATTGTTCATTTGGGTTCAACTTGCCGTTGCAGCCGATGCATCATCTGCTGAAAACACTTTCACCCGGGCCGCGTTTGACGCGTCCCTTCGGGGAGTCCCTTTGGGGAGCCGGGAAAATCCATTAGCAGAATGCCTGCCGGCCCAGTGCCGGCCCAGTGGCGGCCCTCGCCGCCCTGCCGCGGCCCGACTGGCCCTCGCGGAGGAGGAGGGGAGGTCCTAAAACAAATACAAGTCTGGAATTTGTGAATGGTGTCGAACGCCGGGACCCCTCTCCGCGCTTTCCCCCTCGCGCCTCCAGAGTTTCAAGGTCTTTTTCCAGTGGAGGGGTAGTTTCCACCCCGGTCGGCGGGCAGGCAGCCGGCGTCAGTAACTTGTGTTTCCCTTTCCAAAAAAGGGCCGCCGCCGTCGGGCGAACCACCCCCGTGCCCCACGTCCAACTTGTCGAGGGGTGCGGCGTGGCGCGGCGGGGTGGGGTGGGGCGGGGCGCCCGCGCTTCACTGCGCGGTATTTGCTGGCTTGTCTTTGCGGTTGACAGCTGCTGCTGCCACTGCCGCCAGGTCGAGAAGGCAGGCGGGCAGCCCGCTCTCCATGCTCGCCACTCCGCGGCTCTGCGAGTCGAAAAACCATTAGTCAATCCATCAGAGAGGCAACTACCCTCTCCTCTCCGCGGCACCCCTGCCGTCCCCGTCGGCCTGCCCGCCAGCCAGCCGCCCGGGCCTGGACCGCACTCTCACACCGCAACGACACTTTGAACCCACCGGCCGTGCGCGCGCCGTGTCGCGGTCCGCGTGAGCAGACGACGCATTGTTGGCGATACCCCGCGCGCTGGCCATGCCGGGGGCTGGTGCTGCCCGCCTCGCCCGCCGCGCGGCGTCTCTGGCGCGCGGGGTATCGCCGGCCGCGGAGGGAAGCGAGCCAGCCTCCGCCGCCCCGCCAGTCAACACGGCCTGGCCATCGGCCGGCCATCGCCTGCACTGTAATGACGCCCACGACGGATTTACCGGCCGATCGCGGAATGGCCGTAAAGCTTTCACGCCGCCCCGGGCATACGCCCCGAATGGCGCCGTCTCGCTCGCACTCAGGGGGCGCGAGGGAGACAGCGCGGACCGCTGTGCTCAATCAGTCCACCGGGCATCCACTGCGCGTCAAAACAAGCCGCGACTTATGGCGAGCGCATCGCAGGTGACTCCGAGCGGCGCTAGTTCTAGTTCCAGCGACCGCCGCAAGCCAGGTGGCGCCACCGGCACACGCACGCCGCGGTCGAGTCCGGCGCGATGGTGCGCGAGGCCCGGTGTGACCGGCTTGCCAGGCAGCAGGCAGGCACAGCGCCGCAGTGCACAGCAGTGCCGGCTTGGAACTCATTAGTGCCTATACATCACTGGCTTTAACGCCACTCAATTTGGCCCCCTGCCGGACTACACCGCTACAAACTCCGCGACACTGTAGACTGGACCCGCGCGATAACTCACCACCACTGCGAATGCAACAGTCTTGCTTGCAAAACTGCCCATTAATAACGGCCTAATCGAGCGATGGGAAAGTGAGCAAACACGCGGCGACTGTGTTTATGAG